CGCTGTCCCTCCCAGAAACACCCAGCGCTGGCGCGGGAGGCCCTGCGGATGCTGCGTGGACAGGGCGGCCCCCAGCCCGTCATCCTTGGGGACGGTGAGCACGCGCGTGCCGCCCCGTTTCGGTCACATTCCCGGCAAAGTTCAGGCCAAGCAGCAGGCTCGGCCCCAAGATGGGTGCGGGGCGTCCCAGGCGGGCCGGCTGGGGCTTGTGCAGTCCGGAGCGAGGGAGAAGCAGCAGGGCGGGAACACGACCGCCTCCCCGGGCGCCCCTCACAGGGGAGGAGGAGGCGGCTCACGCGGCCAGGAGAGGACAGGCCGGGGGTGGGGTGGGGGGCAGGACGAGGCAGTGCAGGAAAGGCCCTCAAGGCTGGCCCCCGGCCCCCGGGGGGCTGCTGCGCTGCCCTCGCTGTGTGCCCTGGGCCTCCGCGGCGGGACCCAGAGGGCCCGACACCCAGGGACCCACCCCTGTGGGTCCAGGCACGGGCCGTGTGCCCTGGGAGCCCAGGGCCGGCACTGTGTCGCGGGGCAGCGCCCGCGGAGGGTCTGGGGCGCGGGCCCCTCCCCACGGCACTTGGTGTTCATTCCTAGCCATGTCACTGAGACCTAAGTGGCTCTGGAGCTCGCCCTGGGGGTGCTGCCCGCTGACAGGGCTGGGACTCAGCCTGCGCCAGCCCCGAGCACCAGCCGGCTGCTCCCGAAGCAGCAGCACAGCAGGTCCTGGTGCCTGGAGGAGCCACCGCCCGGGTCCTAGGCTCCTAGAAGACTGGGACTCCAGGAGGGCAGGGGACAGGCAAGACTCAGGCGTCCTCCCGCTGGCTCTTCTGGCCTGCGGGGGAGGGTGCCAGGGCCTTCAGCTCCCCAGATGGCTTGGCAGAGAGGCCACCGCCCCCCCTGAACCCAGTACCCCCGAAGTGACCTTCACACGCCGCCCCGGGCCATGTCCCAGCACCCTGTCCTCAGAGCAGGTCCCAAGCAATTTCTCCCGGACATTTTCTCACTCGACCACGGGCAGCACCAGCCCCGGGCCAGTCCGCAGAGCCAGGCAGGTGCCAAACATCCTGGGCCTGAGGGGAGGGCACTGCCTCTCCTCATCAGCCACTGGCCTGGCCCACGGGCTGCCTTTTCTTTTGGGTTCAAATGCATGCAGGGGCTGTGCATTTCTAAGAGAAAGTTAAATTCTACCCAGGTGTGGGGGGGCGCACCTGTAATCCCAGCATTTGGGAGGCTGAGGCAGAAGGATCACCTCAAGTTCAAGGCCAGCCTGGGCTAAACAGCATGGCCCTGTCTCAAAAATCCAAAAAATTCTGTTTTGGGTCAGCATCTTACAAACAGTCTTTGCCTCACTTTGATGCGCCATTATGTTTGAGGGACCCGGGTGCTACTAGCAGAGGACAAAGTGCTGCCTCACTACCCAGTGAGGGCTCCTAGACCATCCTGCCTCAGCCTCCTGTGAAGCTAGCTTCCTGGCAGTGCCAAAGTCTTGGCTTTTCTGTGGCCACCATGTCTCTCAGGACTGAAGTCAGAGGCAAATCCTGTCAGAGCACTCTGCACCCAGGGCTGAGGAGTGAACCGAGGAGCCTTGGGGAGCACTCAGTGGTAAGCGCTGCCTGCACATCACACACCAATGTGACCGTGCTGGCCGCTGTTCCCTCGTGCAGTGGTGCAGCCCGAGCCAAGGTCTCGGCAGCAGCTGGTCAAGAGCGCAGCCAGCTTCTGTAGGCAGCAGCCCAAGCCCCATTTCTGTTGTCACCAGTTGTCTGGCGACCTGATGCAACAGGCGCAGCGGGGCCGAGCTGGCCTTTCCTGAACTTCAGCTCACGGCCCTGTGGCTCTGGGGGATGTGGAGGCCACAGGTGACCAGGCTTTGGCCCTGAGCATGGCTACAGCACAGGAAGCAGCTGCCATCAGAAGCAGCGCCAGCGCCGATGGGTTTCAGCTGCTGGGGCGGCTGCTGCCCTCCCTAGCCTGGCCCTGCAGAGCAGATCTCAGCACAGAAGGCAGAAGGACCAGCCGGCCCCGGGAGGAAGGAAGCCCCACCCCGGGCCCCCGCTGTGGCCTCAAGGCGGGGCCAGGGCCACCTTGCTCCGGTCTTGGGTCTGTCCCCAAGTGTACTTCCAGAGTCCTGGCAGGGTGACAGCCCCAGGTCCTCCCTTTGTGCTCCTGTGGGTGCCCTGCGAGCTTCACTCTGTCGCCTTCCCCATGAGGGTTGCAGACTTGGTCCGCAGCTTGGCGCCCACAGCCCGTTGGTGTCCCCCAGCACGTGTTCCTGGGGCCTCCGTGCTTCTGTCCTGCTCTTCCTTGCTCTCCCACGAGGTTGCGATGGGATCCACCCCACACATCTGTTGGCCTCAATGGTGACCAGTGCCCAGAGCCACTGTGCAGAGGACACTTCGAGCAGACACGTGGTGTGGCCTCCCTGACAGTCCTGGGAGGGGATGTGTTCAACCCTAACCCTCCAACCTCCCCAGGGTTGGGACGAAGGTTCCCCCCTCCCCACCTGGCCCTGAGCGCGTCACACCCCCTCCTTCCTGTGTAGAAACCTGGAACAGAAAAAGCAAAGGCCAGACGCTGTTTTCCAAGCTGAGCCTCTCCAGGGATACAGCTACTGGAAGGCTCTGGCCTTGCTTTCGGCTTCCCCTGCCCGGCTGCCGCCTTTTTAGAAACCCTCTGCTCTTCGACACTTTGCTTCAGCCTCGCTGTGTGTGGGTTGCGAACCGAGACAAGAGATGTAGCGCCTCTGTCTGCTCCTGGTGATGCGCCGAGTCCAGAGGAGCGCAGCTGTTGGAAAGGGAGTCAAACCCGAGCAGCGGGGAGGAGTGGCCGCAGCTCTCCTAAGCTTGGTACACGCGGGGCAGGGGCCTCACTGTGGGTATGGGTTCGAGGGACCCTCAGGACTAGTCTGGCCCCTCCTCAGCTCTGCCCCCCTGGGAAGGGCCAGCCACAGTGCCTCGTGGGCAGAGAGCACTCAGGGATGTGCAGGACATCCCGCCCGCCCGCTGCACTGACAGGTTGTGATCTCACGACAGAGATGTGGGGGACGTTTTTAGATTCTGAGCTCCTTCCAAACCCCAGAGGAGATGTTTATCCAACTTACAGATGCCAAAGACTCATGGAGCTGTGAGTTGGTCAGTGTGCTGCTCCGGGCTCAGTCACAGGGCAGTGCCGCCTCCTCAGGGCCCTGGGCTGGCCCTGCCTGTGGGTGCTGGGAGCACCACTGGCTGCTGCCTCAGTTCTGCCCTCCGATGATCTGTGCTGGAAAGCCGAGTCTAAAGGACTCCCCAAAGGACTCCCCAAAGGCAAAGGCTTCCCTCTCCTCCTTAACCCACACCCTGTACTGGTGGGAATAATCACAAATGTCCCAGAAGTCCTGAAGTTTAACAAGTTTTTCAAATTTATTCCACTGCAATTCTTTAATACATGTGCTAAATGAGTTAATAAATCAGTGAGTTAGAACTGTTTATTCATCACTTATTGTCAAACTGAAGCCTCACCATAGGCTTCAATTTTCCACCCGATAGATAAGGAAATGGTCTGAAAATTGAGTGTCCTGTCCTTGGTACCAAGGCCTGGTGGGGACACCAGGATCGGAGGACACAGGTGGCCCTGACGCAGTTCTGTCCCTTGTTCTGCAAGTTCTAGGCCCTCCTCTTTGTGGGTTCCATGGGTTCCGGGAACGTGTTTTGTTATCTTCTTTCCTGTGAATTCCAGAGGGAGAGGGACGCTGTCCTGTGAATGCTGCTGTGTCTGAATCATTTCCCTCCCAACAGTGAAAGCACCAGAGCTGACCCTGCTCTTCCTGCTCTGAGGCCCCAAGGCCTGGCTGCACCGAGCTCCCACCTCTGCAAGCTCCCCTGCATGGTGAGGCCCTGTCAGAACAAGGACACAGAGGCCCTGTGCGGGAATGTTGCTGAAGCGTGCAGGGGTGGCCCGAGTGGGTTGTCATGAGCCAAGCATTCAACTGACAAGAGCTCATGTTGCCCTTCTGTGATAAAGCCTTGTTGTTAATAGTGTAAGAAAAATAACTCGAGGCAAGAAAGATATGTTGGCTCGTGTTTCACAGGATTCAGTCCCTGGTTGGCAGCTCCAGTGTTGTGGGCCCAAGATGCAAACAGAACCCATGGTGTAAAGATATGGACTCAAGTGTCCTTCCCATGCAGGATTCATGCCCTGTTCCTAAAGTACGCAGTCATTGCTAACTGGAAGATCAATCCAGGGAATACCAGAGAAGTAAAATGGAAAAAAAAAGCGGGGGGGGTGGGTTAAAAAGAAAACCTTATGCTCATAGGAATTGCATTTTGGAGCTGTTACTATAATGCTACTCATGCCAATTAATATTTAGTTGTTGAACAGCTCTCCAACCAACTCTGTACAACTTTCCAGTAAATTGTCTTAGTTACTTTGTCACTGAGACACAATACTCAGCACCCACAATGTGTAGGAGAGCTTTATTTTGGCTCATGTTTCAGTCCAAAGTCCGCTGGCTCCAAGAGGGGCCTGATGGAGGAGAGATGGTCACAGCAAGGGCAGGGGCAAGCAGAGAGGAGCAGCCAGGGCGTGGGAGAGATACCCTTCCCAGCCCCTTCCAGTGACCCACCTCCCAACACCAGGTCAGCTACAAACCCCATGGTCCAGTCACCTCCCAAAGCCCCGCCTGTTAGCAGAAGAGGGTCTTGGGGACACCTAGCTATAAACTGTAACACAAATCTATGCTACAATTCTACTTTATCTATTTTGAAAAGATGACATTTACATACATTTTTAGCCTTTTATGTAGACATGTTGCAAGTCAGCTTTCCATTACTGTGACAAATGTTTGCGATAAATCAACTTACAAAGACAAGTAGTTTCTTCTTCTTTTTAAATTAATTTTATTGGTACATTTTAGGTGTACAGTATAATGACACTCATCATTGGAGATCTGCACCTTTACATACTCTCTCGGTTCTTATTTTCCCTTCCCCTGCCCTCCCTCCACCCCTCCACCCCTCCCTGTTTACAGACTTTGTTTCCACTGTTCCATTTTCTCATATGAATTCCATCCCCTTCTCTCCTTTGCCCTGCGCCCCAACTCCCCCTTCCCCTGCAGAAGTAGTTTCTTCTGACTCACATGTTGGAGATTCAGGTGTGGTTGTCTGCCCTGCAGTTTCCTAGGCTGAGGCAGCGCACCGAAGTGGGAGTGTGTGGTCCACCAAAGCCTCTCACCTCAGGGCCGGATGTGAAAAAGAGGATGAGGAGACTGTGGTCTGAGAGCTCCCTTCAAGGATGTGTCCTTCATGACCTAATGTCCTGCTCGGCCTCACCCTCAAAGGTGCCACCACCTCCCAGCAGCGCCTGGCTGGGAACTAGCCTTGCACACAGGGTCTGCATGGTACCCGTGCTGTGAACAGCGTAACTCCGCACTCTGCTGTGTTCCACGTGGGTCTCATGCTGCCAGTCAGGAGGGTCTTGTGCAAGTGAAATGAAGAGATATAAATGAAGAGTAATTATATGAACCTGACTTTAAGTATTCATCTCAAACATTTTATGTAACCATCTCCACATGTTTTAAACAGATTGGATTGCACTGGGTGCTCATTACAAACAGCACAGAGATGGCAGCAACCCTTCCCTTGCTCCCTGAAGGGAATGGTCTGAGTCCTTGAAAGGCAGGCTTATGTACCCTGCAGAGCCCAGGAGCATCCCAGGGTCAAAGTCACAGAGGGAGGCACCCAAGGGAGAGGCAGGGCAGGCTCCGATGCCTTGAGCCGATCCAGCCTCTGGGAGCTGGGTACCCAGGCCATGGGGGAACGGCTCACCACAGCCTGCATTTTAGGAGCACATAGGACAGTTTCATAATCAAGGAATCATTTGATGATGGATACACAGAGGCATAAAAATGTCCTCCCTGTCCTGCATGTGCCTGGTGATGGGTGGGAAGCATTGCCCTGGGAGATTCTGCTGGAGATGATGCTTCCAGAAAAAACACAGGGTCCAGGCAAGGGAAAGAGAGGGCTGTCTGGAGGTCAGGAAATCTGCAAGGCTGGAGGGTGGAGAGGGTGGTCATTAGCAGAGAAGGGGCAGAAGGAGCTGAGCCCGAGTACCCCAAGGAACTGCTCAACCCCCCCTGGTCCTGCTGTACAGCTAGAACTTTTCCCTTCAGGACTCCCAACATAACTAAACACAAATTTTAGGCTAATTTTCAAAGTTATTAATCAAATATTAAAAGTACAGTCATTATTTCTTGATCAGTGAAAGGACCTTGAAGTTTTCAGATTAATACATGAGGCCTGGCAGGGTAGCTCAGTGGCCAGCGCTAGCCTAACAGCCCCAGGTTCTGGTTCCGGCCAGAACTGCAAAGCAAAGACGAACTCAGGGGCAAGAAGACGGAAGAGATCCAGGCTGATGTTTAAACGTGTGCTACAGGAGGAGTCCATGGAATCAGATAAAAAACCAAACGCATAAAACCTCTGTGAACATGTGCTATTTATCTATTTGCACCGATTAAAAATGTTGACCTAACGAACTTGAGACAGAATGACGTCGTGCTGAGTCCCACCGTGAGTGGCTGCATTCACCCTCAGTCACTTCTGGGATCAGCACTTGTGCTGTCCCTGCTCTGCGGATGAGACGGGACTCTGCACCCCAGGAAAGGGCTGTGATGTCTCTTCCTTCATCACTATGCGTCTCAGCAAAGCAAGAGAATCTCCTGCCAGCAGAAGAATGTTAGTACCATTCTCATGGTGCTTCTGATTAGGGTCGTCACTCTAGCTAGCTGGTCTCCATGGGTTCCCTTTGTGTCGGGTCTCTGAATAATCCGAGAATCACCTCCCCCATTCTCTCCACCTAGTCAATCAATCAGGGAATCAACAAATCAATGAACTGAACAAATAGTCACTTACTGTGTGGCAAGCACCATGAAGAAGAGACACAGACTGGCCACCGTCAGAGTCAGAACCTGGTAATTCTGCTGTTCATCCTGCTTCTCCTTCAGCCTGGTGGGAAGGAATATGTAAGGAAGCTCAGGCTCTTGCACATTCAATTCTCTGCCAAGGCAGGGACCTCCCGAGAATCCATGGTGTCAGGAAGACCTCAGCGGGAGCACAGCTTTGTACCCACTGTATTCCGAGGGTGCGGCCTCATTCAGTTTCAACTTTCTTAACCTTTATTCAAAATTCTTTACTATTATTTCAAAATAAAAAGCAAATGAATTTCTTTTGATGTCTTAAGAATACACATGGTTCTACAGCCAGTAAAAGGTAGTTTTCCAAAACTGAAGAAAACCCTGAGGGAGCCAGTGAGGTTGACCTGGGTGCCCACTGGTTTGCAGCAGCACCCATTCCCTCCCTGAGGCCCTGGCCCACCTCTCTGATGGTCTCTTCAGCTTGGCCGCCACATCTGGAGCCTTCACCTTTGGGAACACACATACTGTATGTTAGAGCAACTTCCCAGCATTTGTTCTAGAATGAAAATCCATGAAAAGAGATCGTTAACATTGCCACCACCTTCCTTTTTGCCAGGGATTCTCAAACTCTAGTCTGAGTGGCTTTAGTAAAACTCAGGCTGGACTGGCTCAGAGGTTCAGGCTCTGCAGGTCTGGGGTGCACTGAGCAGGTCCCCACATGTTTCATGCCTGCCCTGGGAAGTCTGGTGCTAGATGGTGTGGGGTGTGGAGAACAGGCTGTCTTGGTGAGTTTGGGGAAGTGCTTAACCTCCTATTTTCTCAGCTGCACAGCACCTGCCCCACACCACTGTCACCAGGCCAAATCAGTCAACACAGGAAGTGCTTTGAGCCGCAGCTGACAGAGGCAAGAAGTCAGTAAATGAAGGGCTTGCAACATCCTTGTACCAGGTCCTGACTCACTTCTTTCTGCCACCGAGACAATGAAGCGCACATATTTTACCTCCTTTAAATTCCTTTACCAAAGCTGCACACAGTGGTACATTTGGCTCCATCCATTCCAGTACAGTTCCCCTTTTGTTAATAAAAGTTTAAAATTGAAAGTTAAAAATTAAGAAAACAGGAAGTGCTGCAAATGTCCACGTATGCTAATGTTGAAATGGACATCATCAGTGTATCCTGTCGGGCAGACTCTACGCCCGTGTGGACAGAAACCATTCTTACTGACATGAATAGAAGTGTCAGATGGCTCTTAGGTACCTTTACATTATAAATGAAGCTTTCTCGTTTCCAGCATACTGAAGTACCAAGTGAATCCAACTGGAGCTCCTGCTGCATGAAGTTGAACCTAGGTGTTTCCTGAAAGAGCTCTTTCAGAGAGCTAGGATCCTCCGGGGAGCAGAGACAATGCCTGCTTCACGGGAATGCATCCAACGCGGCATGTTTCATCCACAGAGGGGAGGCACTGCCACCAGAAGCACAGTCCCAAGACATGGGACGACTTTTAACTCTGCGCGGCTTTTACTTCCATTCAGGAAACCCACAGCTTGTTGACTGTGATTGACAAGCATCTTTCTGAAAACATAACCTGAACATCTTCTACTTCCAAATCTCACGATTTTTAGCAGTCTTTAAAAAAGAGAAAAACAACAGTAGTTTGAGAAAGTAGCCTAGGTATTTACATGATTTTTCACAATTTGCTTCAGTCTCTAACTAGAAATGACAATTATTACTTGGTTTTCCGAAGTCAAAAATCAGTTTTGTTTTTAAAATGTCATTGATAATATGTAATGTATCAAGTTATCTAAGTTGACTCCAGTAACTTAGTCTTCCAACTTCATTTTGTGATGATTTAAAATACCTAATGTTTAAAATGAAGTTTTAAAAAACCAAATCGTTTACTTCGTAAGTGGAAATGATCCGATGGACCTGTGCCTGGTTCAGGGCAGAACCTGAGCGACCGAACCCTAGGGACCCTGGTTCCGAGCGGGCGGAGAGGGCAGCGCAGGCTGCTCGCCTTTCCGGTCCCTGCGGGGCCGGGCACGGGGCTCCGGTTTCTGCCTCCTGCGGCACCAAAGGCCTCAGCCGCCGAGCGCGCACAGGTTTCGGCTCAGGAGCGCAACGCGATGTCCTCGCATGGCAAACGCCAGGGCCACGACGGTCCGAGGGGACCTCCTCGGGGAGGCTGAGTCGAGGCCGCGCCGAGCGCGGGCGGCAGGGAACACACGGGTGAAACGCTGGGCAGCTTGCCACAGAGCAGCTGGCAGAGTGGGACCGTCTCACGGCGTTTAAAAGCGCTGTGGAGGAACTGACCAACCCACACTGGAAGCAGGGAACTCGAGCCGCCGCCATGACCTCGCGGCCTCTGAGGAAGGAAAGCAGCCCGCCACGGAACTGGGTCCCGTCCCCGAACCTCGTCCCTGCGAGCCCACCCCGGCCCAGTCCGGCGCAGCTCGGGCCTGGCCGTCGGGAGCTCGGAGCTCGCCGCGTTCCGGTCGGTCGCGCACGGCCTGGAGGCGCGGGTGGCCGCACGGCCGAGATAACGAGGGCGCGGCCGCAGGTGCGCAGGCGCGGTTCCTGGGCTCGCAGGCGGGCGGGAGGGGCGCAAACGCTGCGACACGCGGCCAATCGGCGGCGCCGGCCACGATTCAAATGGCCGAGGGGGCCTATGGGAGCACGGGATTCCCTCGGGGGCGTGTCCGGGGCGTGCCGTGGGCGTGCCCGGGCCTCGTCTAGCGGAGCTGCAGTCAGGTCGCTGGCGGCGCGGCCCTGTCCGGAGCGGCTCCTGTTCCCCGGGCCCGGCGCAGGTGAGCGCTGCTGTTCAGTCTGTTTCCGCTCAGTCCCCGTCCCCGTCCCCGCCGGGCCTCCGGCTTCGCGGCGCGGGCTGCGGTCGCTGCGGAAGCGGGCGGCACCGCGCACTTCCCGGCGGCAGGGCCGGCCTTTGTCCCGCCCGTGCGGGGACCCCGCGGCCGGGCTCGGGTTCGGGCCGGTGAGTGGCGGGGTGCGGACTCGGGCGGGCGCCGCCTGCTGGGCGCCGCGTGGGCTCGGCGTCTTCTCGGTGACAGCCGCGTCCTGCCTCAGTAGGCCTGGCCCGTGGGGCGTCGCTCACCGAGCCGGGTCTCGGGGCCAGCGCCGGGTGTGGGCCGCTGCCCCGCGTGTCAGCCTCCCCGTCGCTTCTCGCTTAGCCTGGAAGAGCGGGGGACCCCGACACTGCCGAGCCGGAAGGGCGGAGCGAGGGCCCCAGGAGCGGCGTCCGGGACCAGCCCGCAGGGAGGCTTCGAGCCCCGCTGCCGGGACTGCGCCACACTGAGGGTGCAGAGCTGTCAGACCTGCGGCTCCGCACTGTGCGGATTGGTTTGAGACAGCGTCCCCAGCCAGCGGGCTCGTTTTCCGAGCACCTATGAGAGATCACTGCCCAGGCTCAAGTCGAAGACATCACCCAGGGCAGACGCACGCTGTGCCCCTGTGCCTCACCCCTGTCCCCCTGTGCCTCACCCCTGTCCCCAGGAAATCTGTAAAAACTTGGGCTTAGAGACTCAACAAATGTCTTCATTTGGTTATCTCAGAATTTAATTGGTATAGAAGAATGCTTTTGGTCTTGGCTTGTGTCAGAACTGCACAGACAGCAATGTGATGTGCAGTAGGTGCGTGGAAAAATGCCAACGAGTGAAATTTTTGGAAGATCCAGTAAGGATCTGTGCAAGAGCCCTGTAAAAATGCAGACAGCCCCAAGGTCCTGAGAGCCCGTGTTTCAAAAGCTTATGAAGTGTTTGAAACTTAAGTGGCCTTGCTATGAAAGACGTGCTTCCTTGTGCTTCCTTCCAAGGCGGGTGAGCTGTGAGGACACTGGTCAGAATCTGGCCCGAAGGGTGCAGGGAAGAGGAAAGCAGGCACCAGAGGAGGAAAGAGGCACATTTCATTTCCTTCCTCTTTGTGCTTAGGGCCGGGAGTTAGTTATGTGTTGAAATAGCCACTCCTCGCTGCTGTCACCTTCCGGTTTGTGCCCCTCCTTGTCCGGAGGTGTCCAGTGCCCTGCCCAGGTCCCCTCAGGTGACTGCAGCCAGGCCCAGCTTCATTCCTGAGGCTCAGAGCTGTTCATTACCCTGTGATGCTATCTCAGTTGTACTCTTTGATGTGCACACCCACTGACATTCTCTAATCCCCAGATAAAATAAGCTCTTGTATTTTCTTTCATCTATCAACTTAGGGACCCTGTATCTAAACAACAAGCTTGTGTTATCTCAGGTGATTGACAGTGAAGATGTGTAAGTAGGAAAGGCTTTTTTCTTGCGAGGGGTGGATAACCCATTTTTCTCCTAGTTCCTCAGTCTAAAGTCAGCCTTAAGTGTTGTGGTCATTGTGTGGTCAGCTCTTGACAGAAGTGGTGATAAATGGATATCTGTGTACTCCCATGATTCACTGAGAATTGCTTAGTCGATGACACAGGACTTGGGAGAGAAGTCCTCTTTTCTAGTGTCTGCATCTTGCCGCTTCATTTGGTGTCAGAGGGATTGGTCTGAGATATCAGCTTTGGTGTGGAAGTGTGAGCCTGCTGGTTAGTGGTGGAGAGGCTGCTTCCTGGGAGCCTGCAGCACTGGCAGTCAGCTCATACTTCAGAAGGTTGGCAGACAGGGCTCGTGTGTGAATTTTTGAAGGTTGTCTGTGGCTTCTTATGATGTATGCAAGGTAGGTTCAAAGTATACAGTGAATATTTACATTTTAAAATATTTATTGCAGTAAAAGATAATTGAATTCCTTTCAAAGTACTCCCAGATTTATCCCCTCATTCTTGCTACTTTCGGAAGCAATTCTGGAAATCCTCTTTCCTGAGTGTCTTTGTGAGGTATGATCAAAACTACAGTGAATGCTGCTGCTGAATGTCATCAAACAGGCAGGCTCAGAAAAATATGACAGTGTGTCCTCATCCACCTTGTTCACTGCAACTTCTGGCTCTTCCTCAAAGTCAAAATGACCATGAAAGGTAAATGTTCTGAATCAGTTCAGGACATCCAGGCAGCCAGGACAGTGAAACCAGACAGGAAAGAAGACTTCTAGAACTGCTTCTAGAAAAAGCAGTGGTAAGGACAAAAATGTGTTCGAAGCGAAGTGAGAGCATATTGAGAAGGATCAGTGGCAGTGTCTTTTACTGTTAATACTTTTTAGAAAATCTGATGGTCACCCTGTTTTACGATCATGCCACCTACAGGCTTGTGGACCGTATTTTGATGCAGGGAAGAGAATGTTGTGATGAGGCTGATGTCTGTGGCAGTTTTGAAGGGGTGACTTTGATGAACGCCAGATGTGTGCTGGCCCGACTGGATGGTTGACAGTTACTTGGTGTGCGAGCATTTGGACTAAAACCAAGAGTTGAAGCTTTGTGAAGTAAAGCCAGATTTGCTATTCATTATAGACATGAAATTATTTTCCTTCCTTTTGGTAGGTTACAGTAATGTTAACTGCATATTTTTGATTTTCCCAATCTGTTTTATAGTTATTGTTTTCAGTAAGGTAATTTGTTAAAATATGGTTAATTGCATTTTAAAGCTTTTCAAAGACAACGTGCAGATTTATGAATCAGAAAATGTGCCCTTTATGAGATTTACCCTGAGTTTTGGTCATGGTAGGTGGGTGGCATTTTGCTGGCACAAACTACTGGGTGCCTGTTATGTGTGATCATATTTCATCCTTCATGTCACTTCCATGTGCCTCCATGACTTTATCATTCCCTGTAAAATGATTCCAAATGAGATACAGGGAAGCTTGGATAAATGCCCCACCATTTCCTAAATCTGTTTTTGTACCCTTGGGCAAAAGTTAGCTTTAAGCTTCAGTTTTCTCATCTTGAAATGAGAAGTTGTATACCTGTCCTCTGGAAGCCTTCTTGGTCCTAACATCCTGCCCGTCTAATAATTCTACAGAGTTGTATTTTAGCAACCAATCTATGAAAAAGACAAACGTAACTGTAAATATTGACTAGTTTGTTTCTTTAATATTGTTCAGACTAATTTTAGAAAATGCCAAGTAGGAAATTTGCCGATGGTGAAGTGGTAAGAGGTCGATGGCCTGGGAGTTCCCTCTATTATGAAGTGGAAATTCTGAGCTTTGATGGCAAATCCCAGCTCTACGCCGTAAAGTACAAAGATGGAACTGAACTGGAGTTAAAAGAGAGCGATATCAAGGTAAGACCCGGTTGGCCTCCCCCACCGTGTGGCGGCGGGGTGACATGGCCTGGGCTCCTCTCATGCAGACCTGCCTGCTGGCCCTCTCTGCGTTTAGTCTGCTGCTCTTGGAGTTTGCCCTGCTGCTGTTGGGCACAGAGGGGAGGGAAGGACCCTGGGCTTTAGGGGCTGACAGAGGTGTGACATCTGAGTGCTGAGGATGAAGGGAAATGCTCAGGTGAGGGCAGCACCCTGAAGGCTGGGGATGACAGGGACATGGCAGGTGTCAGAGGGCGTGGCAGCTGGGCCATGGAGTGGGAAGCAGGAGCCAGGCTCGGGGTTCAGTGCTCTGCTGCTCCATGCCTGAGCCAGGCTTCCTCAGGAGGGCGGCATCTGTTATGTCGGAACCTGTCCTTCACCTGTAATCTGTGCAGGGAGGCCTGGATTTTCAAATACGGTGCAGGAATTCTCGTATCAGGTGCTGCAACCTACTCCCTGCCACTCAGGAATCTGAGACTGTGGGCCATGAATTGGGGGCCAGCCAGCGCAACACAGTGAGACCCCATCTCAAAAAACTGAGTAAATACATAAATATACCATAAAATTAATTATGAAGGAAAAGATCTACAGAGTAAAAGCCGCACGCGCTCATTAGATTTCAAAGCATGAAATTCCTCTGTGAAAGCGCAGTGCGGGCGCCTGTGCACCTGTCGTCAGTTCTGTGCCTGCTGTGGATCAGTCGCATTGGGCTCGTGTCCTGGGGACCACGTCTCACCGCAGGCCCGGTAGCTTGGGGCTGTTCCAGGCCTGAGGGAAGAAATGGATAGGGCCTGTCTTGTGTAGTCTTTGCTTATGGATGCTGGAATGGGAATTTCGGACAGTTCTTGTACCAGGAAGTACTGTTTTGATTTTGTCTGCAGGCGGTTATGAGATGTGAAAACCACCCTCAGCTCTCGGGTGAGGATGAGACCCAGAAGCCCATGGGTGTATTTGGCCGGAGGGGCCCGCGCCCCAGTCCTCACGGGGCCACACCCCCCACCTGGGGTTCCGGGGAGCTGTGGGCGTGGCCCTCCTCGGCGGTGTGCTGAGCTCCTTCCTCTGGGCCTCCTGTTCCGTCAGGTTGGGGTGGCCTGTGCTGGGAACCCGGGAGGCACCGTCAGGGAGGTGTGAGGGGCGCAGGGCTGCGCCGTTGGTCGCCGTCACTGCAGTGTCCCCAGCCTGGCCCACCACGGGTCAGAGTTGAGGCTGGCGGCCGAGGCCATCGCTGTGCTCTCCGCGTGAGCGGCTCTGCACGCCTCGGTTTGTGATGAGCTCTTTGCTACGGTCCTCCCTCCAGCCTCTAACGTCCTTCAAGCAAAGGAAGAGCAGCTCAGCTTCCAGTTCTCCCTCCAGACGCCGAGGGAGCCGTGGAAGCCGCAGGTCTCGGTCACGCTCCCGGTCCCCCGGCCGGCCGCTCAGAGGTTCCCGGAGATCCACCTCCGCCTCCTGCCAGGCCGATGTGAAGGAGATGAGGAGGGAGATTCTGGAAGTTAAATTGACTCCGCTCGTATTGGTAACTTGTCTTTATCCTGGTACAGTATGCGTTTCATCTGTTCATAACTGTTGTCCCCTGCAGGTAGATGTTTATTGGAGTTGCTTACAGTTAATAATAATAATAAAATGTCAGACATCAAATCTGAGGTCATAAGTTTGGAAGATAACATAAAGAATAAGTGTTTGTTGTGGAAAGCATAATTCTTTTAAATGGAAAAAAATGAATGTTGTTAATTTTGTTTTACTTTTTTTTGGTACTGTGGATCGAGCTCGGGTCCTTGCGCTTGCGCAGCAGGCGGCGAAACCACTGAGCTAAATCTCCAGCTGTTGTTAAGTTATAAGAAGCGCTATTTATCCCAGCACTCTGGCAGGCTGAGACAGGAAGATTTTAAGTTCGGGCCTAGACTTGGGCAACTTACCGACTGAGCAAGACCCTTGTTTCTAAAAAGGGTTGGGAATGTAGCTCAGTGCGAACCCCAGGCCTGGGGTTCAATCCCTAGTGCCCCTCCCCATCCCACAATGCTATTTAATAGTCGTGTTTAAATTTGAAATAGACAGAGCTTGTCGGTTAAACTGAGTCTTCACATTGTACAAAAGTTCACCGTGAAATGAGACATAACTATGTTGCAGAAGCATTCTTGCCCTCCCAGCACCGTCGTACTGATCTCTGCCCTGTTTAAGGTGATCATTCAGTGGGGTGACCTTCAGAGTGCCTGTGGAGCTGTAGACCTTATGCAGCGGGTAGATTAGTTGATAGACCAAACAAGAAAATACTTTAACAAGAATTAGAGTAAAAGTTATCTTGTATTCCTTTCATGTAATTTTACCTCTTTTTTGGATAAAATACACACAGACTTTTAAAAACCTTGAAAAACTGGACTATGTGCATACTGTTTTACAGTTAAATTTGTAAAATTTAAAAAGTTTGGAATAACCTTTCCTGGCATACTTTTCCATACCGTTCTGATATATGACATGATATGGCTCTGCCACACCCCTCAGACGGGAGTAAGTGTTGAAGTCAGCTCCCCTATTGATAGGCATCTAGTGTTTCCCCTTGAGTCTTTACCACTGTAAACAAGTACAGACATTGGCTTATGCCCTTAGGGTAAATTCTTTAAAGTAGAGCTGCAGGACAGCTGTGCAGCATGGACTTGCAGCTTCCATGTATGTTGCCATGCTGATTCCAGAACGTGCACCAGGACTGATGGTGTGTAAGTGCTGCTTCTCATCTGAGTATTATAATCTTTTCCCAAAGTGCTTGTCAGAGATTTTAGGTCTCTCTGTTCTGATATGCATTTTGCTCAGTGCCAGGGAGTTGAGTGTTCTGGCTCCTGGGCTCCACAGGCAGCTGGGTGTGCAGGGTTAGGAACATGCTGCACGCTGCCTCTGCGACACTTTGGCTTGTGATGCTGAGGGACTCACACTTCCGCAGTGCCAGCTCCTTGGTTGCCTGGAGACACACAGCCCCAGCCCAGCTCTGGCCTCTCCATACCCCGTATTGCCTATTGGCGGTTGTCACAGGTCCGCAGTGCCCCAGTGGGGAACGGACCTGGATTCTGAGTAGTGCTGTCCTTTGCCACTTGGTGACTTATAAAGGAGCAAAGTGACAGATGGCAGTCATACATGTCTAAGAAGCCTTCTGTGAGCCAAATTTCTTCCCTTGTTCAGTCAGGTAAGAAGTTAAAAGAGTGAGTTGAGAAAAGGGACACGTGGGAAGGGGAAATTCAGGGTCAAATAAATAGCAAGAGGCGCAAAACTGAAAAAGTAAACTGTACCTCACTAGTAATAGTCTATAATGATTGCTGTTTCTTAATTTTCCATCTTAGGATGTTTTGGTGCAGTAGATGTCTTTTCCTCATTTTTAAAAACCAAGTAATGAACTAGTTTACCAGTTTTTACTTTTATCTGCCTCTCATACTAAATATTAGAATATCTGATTGAAATTATGACATCTGGTCTAATTCACTTTTTTTTTTTCCTTTTATACTGGGGATTGAACTTGGGACCTTGTGCTTGCGAGGCAGGCACTGGAACCACTAAGCTAAATCCCTGGCCCTAGGTCTAATTATATTTGAAAGAAGACAGATGTTCTGAGGAAATCGATACTATAAGATCCAATCTTTGAAGATTGGGAAATTCTAGTCAGTTTTGTTCCTTTTCCTTTTTTTCTTTGGAGATGCTGGGAATTGAACCCAGACTTCACACTTGGTAGGCAAGTGCTCTCTCTACATTGAGCTACGTCCTAGAGCCTCCCTTTTCATTTTTATAAGAACTAAAATTCTTTAGAATTAAGGCTATGAAAACATTTGGCCTATTTTGTTGGTGGATTTTCAGTAGTAACTTATCACTGTTGTTTTGATTAAAATGTCTTATATTCCACTTAGAAGCCATTTGGGAACAGCATCAGCACGTACAATGGAGGACCAGAGCCCAAGCAGAATGAGGGGAAGGACTCGCCTCACAGAACCATGCAGTCACATGGTGAAGGGAAGGACAAGCCTCACAGAAGACCTCAGGTGCATGGCAGGGAAAGGACGTACTTCACAGCCCCGAGATTCACAAGTTAGGCTCCTTTTGGGCAACTCTTCTTTGTTAATGCTATTTTCCTCCTTTGAAGCACATTGGAAATCATCATAGCTTATAATTTGATCTAAGACTGAATGTAAAAAAAAACAAAACACTGAATGTAATTTGGCAAATTCAATCCTGTTAGTGTCAGCTATGTTGAGATCTGAATTCCTTAATGGAGTTGCCTTTTGGAATTGTTGATGTAAGTATTTAATACTCTCTATGTTTTAATTAGGAAAGAGTCACCATGCCCCACAAAAGCAGTAATGTGTCTACTCAGTATAGCCTTCGACCAAGAAGAGAAGAGATCAAATTCAACGAAGTCAATTCTAAGGGAGAAAAGCCTCTTGCTGAAGAACCTGATTTGCTGAGAACATTTCATGTGGCCACCCCTCCCAGGAAGGAGATGGAGTTTGGGGGTGTCCCTGGTAGGTGCCCTGCACAGGCGTGGGTGGGCAGAGCCTTCAGAGGCTGAGCCAGCGCCCTTCCGCTGTGTTTCAGTATATTTCCAGCAGGCTGTCTTAGGCCTGGCATGGAGAAGTTCAAAGAAGTGGTAAAGGAATCTGACCTGATAGATAGCAGTGTGTGGAAGGCCAGACCTGGGCGGGACACAGGGTGTGGCGTCAGCCCTCCACTGACAGTGGATTGTGAGGGCCTAGGTTCAGCCTCAGGGCTGTCAGCAGGTGGGGCGGACTGGTGAGCTAGGAAAGGAAGTGTTTGGTGAATGGTCCCCAGGCCGGAGTGGTTTCTCTGCTGTGTTCTGTGAGTGGTGACGCCTGGCTGGCGGGTCCGTACAGGTGTGGCCACCATCACCCAAAGGCTGCACCACGACCAGAAGGCGATTTATTTCAATTTTGGGACATTTATGGCTACAGAGTTTTTAAGATGAGACGGATCATTTCCGGATGTCTGGCCATGGGCTTGCTGGCCTCTCCTGCTCCTCTGTGGTCCTGGGGAAAACGTCTGGAGCTGGGTCTGGAGCTGGGCCACAGTTGAGGGGCGCGGAGCATCTGTGCTTCCGAGCTCCGATGCCCATAGCTGCTTCCTCGCGAGGCTGTGCAGCAGTGAGGAGTTCTGAGGGGCCCGACTACCAGCTGGGCCTGAGCCCAGGCCTTCGAGTGCCGACTGAGCCAGCCGAGGCTGAGCCCGCCACCACCCGCTTGCAGGTGCGTTGCTCATCATGCTGGGCCTGCCCGCCGTCGCCCTCCTGCTGCTGTCCCTGTGCCGGGAGGATGACCCGAGCCTCCTGCGTTTCCGGCCCACCTGGCCAGCACTGTGTGACCTGTGGGAGCCCCGGGCTGCAGCACTGTACCTCCTCTGGCTTTCCGTCCAAGCTCTGTTCTACCTGTTGCCAGTCGGGAAGGTAGGTTTTGCTGGTAGGACTCAGCCTTGTGAGGCTTTCCTAGCTTCTGTTCCATGGTCTCACATAAATGAATTCACAGCAGTTTTAGGGTTAGAAGCTGCTTGTCGCTCATAACTGCCAAAACCTACTTACTCCTGTGCCATGTAACACTTGCCTATTAGTGGAAATTAAAAAATCGGGTTTTGTGTGTTACTTCCTAAACCAAATAGAAAAGAGTAAGCTAGTTTGCAAATTGGCCCGACTCCAGGAGAGGTAGGAGGGTGTTGGGGAATTCTTCCTCAGCATATATTATGTCAAATGCAGCATTTTAAATCATTAATTGATAAGCCGTGGCACTCAACGGACTTTTATCTTTTTGCTTTTTTAAATACAGGTATATGATTTTTAATCCCTTTGAGAAATGAGTTGTCAAGAATGTTTTATGTGCTTTCCAGACTCATGCGACGTCTTCAAAGTTTGTTCCCATTGCTAAGTGTAGTTTTTTAATTCTTTCAGTAGAGTACTTTCCTCGGATATATTTAAAGAAACATGAGATTCCTAAGTAATAAATAATTTAAGAATCTTTTTCTTAGAGCTTTGCAGGTTTGCCAGCTGCAAACCAAGGATCAGGTAGTTTTTTTTATCATGGCAAGGGCAGCCATGGGCGGATCACAGGCTCCAGGGCCTGGATGTACCTGATGCTGGCTCTGCAGGAAGGAATCTCTGGTTGTTGCCATGGTAATACGGGAGCCAAACTCAGATTAAGGTAGGGTTGGTCTAGTTTGACGTGTACTAGAAAAAGTAGCTCGGGGGATTACAAATCAGATGTATATTCAGACTAGAGTGACCACAATATGCTAGATACATATCTGCATTCACAGACTAAAACCCAACACAGAGATGGGGGTCATTTGAAATCACCAAGTCGGGGTGGCTGATCCCATGATCGGACAGGTTTTGCTTTTCTCCTGGGTTCCCTTTCGTAGCTGATGAAGAACTCTGGACACATGATATCTGCTGCTGTTGGATGCTTTGAAAGAATGGCTGTGGTTCCGAGCAGTGACTTAGGGAAGTGAGATGGGGGGACTGTGCCCCATTCCCAGGAGCCCGTGTCCTGTAGCCCGTCCCGCATGGGCCTCGCTGTGGAGGTCAGCTCCTCCTAGAGCTGGTGAGGTCGTGGGGTGAGTGTGTCTAAGGCAGACTGAAGAGCTGTGAGGTGCACAATACCAAATGCACAGGGCACCACAGATGGGGCAGAAGCCGAGCCAGTTGGAAAGGACCTAGGGAGTGAAGGCAGTGGGTGGTGCTGAAGTTTGTGAGCAGTGGAGACCGCAGACTGCTGAGCAAGGCCCTGCCAGACGCAGAATGTTGGAATTTGGAGCACCTGTGGTCTTGGGCGGGCCCAGGACGTGATGGGGGGCAGGTGGCTTTCACGGGCGTCTCAGCACACCAGGAAGTCAGTGAGTAGATTTAGGCTCCTGAAGTGGAATTGCTTCATCAGGGCGGGGCTCTCTCGGAGCTCTGTAAGGTGTCACTGCATTTCCTTATTCCGAAAGGTCTGCTTCCTTGAGCATGGTGGGATTTAAGAGATAGCCGATGACTGTATACATGTGCGACATCTGTCATATGTATAAGGGTGATGGTAATGTGCTCTTTTAATTTAAAATTTTTTTTCTCATAGGTTGTAGAAGGATTGCCTCTTGTTGATGGAAGAAGACTCAAGTATAGATTAAATGGTGATTTTATTTTTTTCAAAGACTCACATTAAATGATTCGATAAGTTAAACTTTTGGGTAATTGTGCTCTTTAAACCCGTGGCACGTATGTCATAGTGGGCTGTTTGTTATTGAAAGCACTAAAAGGTTCAGCATCACTACATTAATCCATCAAAGCTGATTCCACCAGGGTGAGTTGTAAACAGGAGTACCTCTTAGTGGTATGAAGGGCATGCAGATGACCCCTGGAGCCAGGGGTGGGACTCAGGTCATGTGAAATAGCAGCTGTTTTACTTTACTTACCATACCTATCTTACCGTAGCTGCGTTTACCTTACTTCCTCCGCAGTGCCGAGGGTGGACTCAGCCCTGGTTTCTTTTCTCAGTAGCACCCCTTCTGCTTGCAGTGCTGTCCTCACTGGGTTTTCCTACCCTGGGAGCCCTGCATGGATGCGGATGTCCTGTCCCTTCCTGTCCCACTTGCTCAGTGCCCCGCTCACTGGCTCTGGCTGTCCCTCACATCTGTGTCACCTCTCTTCTCCGGCCCTTTCCTGGCCCGGCTTGCTGCAGTGGCCCTGGGCCCTCCTCCAGTTCGGCCGCGTGGGCCGCCCTTGGCTGCATCCTGTGGTGTCTGGTGCGTGGAGGGTACCTGCCGGAGGTGGGGTCTCGGCACAGCCAGGGCATGGCAGGCGCTGTCCCTGCTGGTCTGCATAGCTGCCTTGGTGGGAGCAGGGGGGAGACCGGCTCTGAGGGCCAGTCTCCGCTCGATGTGCTTTGCTTTTGCCTGTGGTGGAGAAGCCGTCAGCGGAAGCCACCAAGCTGGGAACTGCCTGTGTCTGTCTGAACACTTGGCCCTTGAATCCTCTCGTTCTTACTGTCCTAGCTCTGGGTGCCCAGTTTTGTGCCTGGCCTGCCCCTGCTCCCACCTGCAACCAGGCTGGTGGGTCATGGGAGGGCCAGTGTGCCTCAGCTGCCATGTGCCTTTCATCTGCCAAGCTGGAGCCGAGCTAGGAGACACCCGGCTCCCATGTGTGTTTGCTGTCACCGAGTTGAATTCCTCTGCAGAGGGAACAGGTATAGATGCCCTCCCCACAGGCTGCGTGCCCCTGGCAGAGGGGTGGAGTCGGGGGAGCAGTCTAGGCCACCTAGGTCACCTCCTGCAGGTCTTGGTGTTCGTGTCGTCTCTTCTGTCCTTTGGAGGCTGGTACCTTTAGAGGCTTGGAACTGTGGGAGGCAGTGCTGGCTTGGTTGCTGACTCCTGTATAAAACTTACCAAGTTATTCTGGTTCCAATATTTGGGTATTCTTTTAATGAGAAGTTTTACCACGATGGCAATTTTTAAGAAATTTTGAATGATTAATTTTAGTCCATGTGCCATTCTTCTTACTATTTACAGATTTTGTGAGTGGTCAGTGAAATATTTTCAAAAGTTCAAACATTAAAAATTATTCTTTGGAGTAAACTTGATATATGGACAGCATGGCTTTGAACAGTAAAGAGAGTGACCCTGTTTCTTCACCAACACTCTGATGTTAGGGTTCTTACACAGTAATGGCACTTGGGTCCCAAGAGCATCACAGTTTCTGTAGCTGGGGGGCACAGGCCCCCGAAACTGCTGAGCCGGGTGGGGACGGCGGGCTGAACACGGCTCCCTGCTTTGCTCTGGGGTGGGGTGAGCTCTCGTCCCACACGGTAGTCATGCTGATGGGGAGTTCGGTATAATACTTCTAACCTCACGAGGGGCAAGGGCGAGACCCTGCCTTGTGTGCCTGCCAGCCCTGCTCAGATTTTACCACCCGACTTTGGGCCTGAGTGTTTGCATTCAGTGCTTTTTCAGGTTCTTCCCTGCTTTTAGTAGAGTACTTCCATTCAGCTTTCCCTTAATTAGAAGCAGATGATGACTGTTCACTATGAAAAAGAATAAATGTGTTAAAATATTTTACAAACTGTGCGGGAGTGTGGAGCCTGCATTGAGAGTGCTTATTTGCGTGTTTGCGTGTTTAGTCTGAATAATGGCACCGAGATTTGGAAGCAGCAGTGCTTTGTCTTACAGAGCTATGATTCCAAGCAAGTCCTGAGTTAATGCCAGTTATTTCCCTCTTTTCTGAAGGATTCTCTGCTTTCGTCTTGACCGCTGCAGTCCTTGGTGCGGGTCTCCTCTGGGGTCTGCAGCTTCATTACCTGTTCGACCACTTCCTCCAGTTGGCTGTTGCAGCCATGGTGTTCACGGCTGTCCTGAGTGTTTACCTCTATGCACGAGCCCAGAGCGCGCCCAGGGATGAGCTGTCGCCGGCCAGCTGCGGTGAGTGCGCTCTGGCTGCTTCCACACCTGCGGAGATGTCTGATCTCTAGCTTTATTTTGTGGGGCACGAAGAGAAATAGGAGGAAATAAAAGATGAAGAAGAAATGTAGAGAGAAGTTAAAGGAAGAAAATATTTTTGACTTTTCCTCATGTTTTGCCATTTGTTTCCCTTCCTATTTTTAGTTGCTTGATAATGGTAGACATTTCCCCGCTTGAACTTTCAGGAATTGTAAGTTGTGATAGAGACTGTTTTGTCCAGAACAGTAGACACTCTTTAAAAAAAAATAGCTGTTGCAAATTGTTTAATTCTGACTCAAGTATTTAAAACTTTAAAAAATGTTGCTTGTTTTTAAAAAATTGTACATTAAAGAAAAATCCTGTTCCTTCCAAATTGAGATTTGGCCACCTGAGCCACCGGTGTGGGGTCCTCAAGGAGGCTGTGCCCTCTGCCCTTGGAGCTGCCAGGGGCCCTGCAGTCCTCTAGAGCAGCAGGGCCGGGGGCCCGGGATGGGCAGCAGGAGCCTGTAAAGCCTGTGGTTGGTTTTGGAGCGCCGTTTGGTAAAATCTTCTCCATTTTCAGGAAACGCTATCTATGATTTCTTCATTGGCCGTGAGTTGAATCCAAGAGTTGGTTCTTTTGATCTCAAATACTTCTGTGAACTGCGCCCTGGCTTGATTGGATGGGTACGTCGTCTCTAAGAATTCCACTTCAGTAGTACACATTTGTCTTGCATTTAGAAACAAATGTACACCACTTTTAGGGATAATGATAACTTTCCATAGTTCTGTCTACTTGCCATAAAATATTTTCTAGAGGTTTAAGATGCTGTGTTATAAGTTACTGTATTAAAATTTGTTTCTGTATCAGTTTATGTATGAAAGTCCTAATGGAGGTGAGTTAATGTAAGAAAAAATACTTAGCTCCCCTAAACGAAAACCTGTTCTGACCAAGTTGCAGCTTTTGAGGTGAGCAGCACATGCAGAACAGGGTCCCCATATCCTTCACTCGATGTCCTGCAGGGTTGGCCCTGGCATCAGGAACAGGCACTCACGATGCCACGGCATCTCCCAGGGTTTCTGCTGTGTCCTCAGTTCCAGGATCCCTGCAGTGTTGGAGCATCCCCCTGCTGCTTCCTTGGAGTCTGCTGTACTCTGTGTGTCCTTGTCTTTCCTGGCCTCTCATGACCTTCACATTTTTTGAAGCGTGCTGGTTAGGATTTTATTTAAGAATTTTCCCCAGCTTGGGTTGGTCTGATATTTTCTCATGATTGGGGTGAGTTTATGTGTTTTTGTAAAGAACACCATGGAAATGACCTTGCATCCTCTGGTATGTGCCTGGGGTTTGTGGTGGGGATGTCTCCTGCCCCACACTGGTGTGGTTGACGCTGTCTGTGGTTCTCAGTGGAAAGTCAGCCTGGCCTTGAGTCGTGATCGACCTTGAGACTCTTCCGTACCCTTCCATCGCAGGTGGTGATTAACCTAGTGATGCTTTTGGCTGAAATGAAGGTGCAGAACCGGGCTACTCCATCCTTGGCAATGGTTTTGGTTAACAGCTTCCAGCTTCTGTACGTGGTGGATGCTCTCTGGAATGAGGTAAGGAATTGTAAGAGCCCAGGCCTTGTGGCTTGGGGAGTGGGTGCGTGGCCTGGCCCCTGGGAGCCTTGCTGCTCCCACATAGGGAGGATGCCATGTGGTGCCATCGGGGGGAGCAGGTGCTGGTGGCCATACATCTGTGAAGATCTGTGGCTCTGCTTAGAAACAGCATTCTAAATATATAAAATTGGCACATCTGGCCTTCTGTTTTAGTGAGAGGTGACAAATCCACACAAGTAAAATTTAACTTCTTAATTATCACTTGGAAATGCATGGATAATCGAATTGGATTGCTGTTTGTTGTTGTTGTTATTTATTTATTTATTTTTGGTACCAAGGATCAAACAGGACCTTGCGCTTGGAAGGCAGGTGCAGTTCCACTGAGCTACATCCCCAGCCCGGAATGCTGTTTTTTTGATAAGAGGCAATTAGTTCTTTAATAAAGGGGGAAGATGTTTAATGTTGATGTTTCAAAATACAAAGTGTGGCTCTGATCAGATGAATGTAAAAGCAAAAATCAAGACAGCAAGGAAGCGAGCTTTCTTTAGAAGCTTAGTTTCTGCTCGTGGCTGTTCTCATGGTTAGTTGGGTCGCTGCTGCTGCTGCTGCTGAGACTGGTGGATGTTTTGCTAGTCCTCTCCAGCTCCAGTAAACATTTCCCTTTAAAAATCATTTCTTCCCCAGCCCTATATTATAATTTTTAAAAAAATCATATTGACTGTTCAAATTATACTCACCTCCTCATTCGAAGTCAGTTTTCTTTTTTCATTTTTTTTTTTTTTGGTACAGGGGACTGAGTCTTTTTTCAGTTTTAAAACAAAGTTTGGCAGCCCTGCACTGTAATGTTGCAGAACAAGTTTCTGCTGATGCTTGGAGAGGAGCTCCAAGCATTTGAATGATTATTTGGTTGTCCTTCATCACTGCTCTCCCCTGAACCTGGTCTCCCGAGTAGACCTCTGCCTGAGCTTGTAACAATACTCAGGACGATTGCGAGCGTGTGGCCCTGGCAGCATGGTGACCTGCTATTGGGCACCAGCCAGTGCCTCTCTGAGCTCCACAGACCTCAGTTGCAAGCAGCTGCATTCTTTCCTGATCTCAGGTTCTTGCTGCACCTACCTTAGCACAGACACCAGCGCAGCATTGGGGACAATTCGGAGTCGAGCTGTGGCTCAGTAGGGAAGCACTGGGTGTTGGCAGGGTCAGCTCTGCTCTGTAGTCGAGGCCTCCTAGGAGTGTGGAGCTCGTGTTCCTGACAGCTGTGTTAAACCTTTCTTTCTTGTCACTGGTGATTTTTAAAATCGGTTAGAAATCCATCTGCCACACCAGACAGCTGTGAAGGCCAGTTAGAGACAATGTCCTGAGAGTGCCCAGGTGGGGCCGAGGGTCCAGAGCTGCCCGCAGGGGCCACCCTGTGTGTCTGCACCAGTCCTGAGAGACGAAGCTGTTGGTTTCCCAGGTTGCCGGCAGGCAGCTTTTTTTCTGCTGTGAAAATGCATACAATCTGGGCATGTGGCACCCCTGTAATCCCAGCTACTCGGAAGGCCGTTTTAGTAATCGTGACAGCTTCACACTCGCCTGAAAACGGGCCCTTCGTGTGAAGTCTCTGAACAGAGACTCTTTCTCTGTGGTCCCTGCAGGAGGCGCTGCTGACAACCATGGACATTGTCCACGACGGGTTCGGGTTCATGCTGGCCTTTGGGGATCTGGTGTGGGTTCCTTTCACCTACAGCCTGCAGGCCTTTTACCTCGTCCACCATCCCCACGAGTTGTCCTGGCCACTGGCCGCACTGATCACCGCTCTGAAGCGTGAGTGTCTGCCTCGGGCTCTGGGTGCGGGATGTGCACTGTGTGTCCTTGCGCTGGCGTCTGCCTGCCTGTCACTGCTGTTGGAATTGGCCCCGGCCAGCTGTGATGGAGGAGGGAGAATGGAGCTTCCCACCCAGGCTCTTGAGTGGTTGTCTGAATAGATAATTTTAAACAAAACATGCTTTCTAAATTTAACAAGTTTAAGTAGAGTAAACGTAAATTGTTTTAGTAAGAGTTTATTTTCTCTCCTGAGTGTCTGCTTTTTCAGGTAGCTATTGTAAGACCAGCAGGAGTGGTCCTGGCTTTGAAGGCTCACGTCCTAACTGGCAGGGAGGCACTGAGGTTGCAGCTGGGGGGGTTGGGGCAGGGGCGCATGCCCTCACTGGAGGGCCCAGGTTTTGATCTGACTTGAGTCTGGCAGGGGACGCAGGATGCCTTGTGGTGGAGGTCACTTCAGGGCATTCCACCCCGCATTTGCCCCAGGGACAATCAGCACTGAATGTTAAATACAGCCACCTTAACTGCACTAACCCGGGTCATGAGGGAAGGAGACAGGCGAGCTGTCGGTCAGATCCTAGGCTGTTCATCACTGGGTTGGATTTTTGGGCCAGCCATGCTGGTGTGCTCCGGACAGGCTGTGCTTTGATAGTGAGGCTCACAGGCTGGCAGTGCAGTTGTCAGGAGGGAGAGGTCAGGGCCTGCTGACTGACACTGTAAACACAAGCACAGCCAGGAGCTTACGGCTTGCAGTTTCACGCAGGTGTTCATGCTGAGGCCAGCAGGGGCGCCCCTGAGTGGAGGGTGGCCTGTGGCCAGGGGACACAGAACTACATTGTCGTGTCTTAGGTTTTGCTTTCTTTGTGGATGTGACTGTAGTTGTTAGTTTTACCTTCAAAGTAGATGACAGTAGGTTTCAGAAGAGTTGTCTTTTGACCTTCTTAGGTTGAGAGTTTTTGAACTGTTTTTAAGAAATCAAGAGTATTCTCTGATTTGGACATTCACTGAAAGCAGAAATTTTTCCAGCAGAAAGTTTTCCAGCAGAAATTACAAATTACTTTCAGTGTTAGATAATATCTAAATTATTAACATAGAAAAATACTTCATCGTTACAGTTTGTGGATATGTAATCTTCCGATGTGCGAATTCTCAGAAAAATGCATTCCGGAAAAATCCCTCTGATCCAAAGCTTGCGCGTGAGTACTGATTTATGTGTATATGATGCGCCTTACATGGGGATTTTATCTCTCCTTTTTAGGGGTCATTAAGAATGTATTTTTCTATACAGATTTGAAAACCATTCACACTTCCACGGGGAAGAACCTCCTGGTGTCTGGATGGTGGGGCTTTGTCCGCCACCCCAACTACCTGGGTGACCTCATCATGGCCCTGGCATGGTCCCTGCCGTGTGGTGAGTGCTGGCAGGCGGGGGCCCTGGAGGTGCTGGCCCAGGGCAGGGAGCTGCTGTTCTGCACGGCAGCGCCTTAACTGCCCAGCTCCTGAGGAAAGTTGGGACTCAGAGCCTGCTGTTGTAAACCTCTAAAAGTAAAGTTTTTGAGTTTCAAACTGTGCCCAGTGGCTGTTTTTCTCAGCAGAATATGGAGCTTTTAATTTATGACTCAGTGTACTTAGATTCTGGAAAACTTTGGTTCCTAGAGAATTGGGGAAAAGCAGGAAAAAACCCAGTGTCGTGACAGGAAAATTCTCAGTCTGTTTGTGTTCTCACCCGCAGGTTTTGAGCACGCCTTGCCATACTTCTATGTGGCCTACTTTTCGGTGCTGCTGGTGCACCGGGAGGCACGGGACGAGCAGCAGTGCCGGAGGAAGTACGGGCTGGCCTGGGAGCGGTACTGCCAGTGCGTGCCGTATCGCCTGCTGCCCGGCGTGTACTGACCGCCTGCCCGCCTGCCTGCCGTGTTCCTGCTCCTGCTCCTGCTCCTGTTCGTGTTCATGGAGCCCGGCATGTCTGTCCTGGGCGTGCTGGATGGGGGAGCCAAACAGGTCTTTAATGAAGCCGTGTTTATTTTTCAGTTGTAACAGTGTAAGGAAAGACACAAATAAGAATGTTAGACTTTGCATCGTAACAGGAAAATTTCAACCCTTATGAATCAGGAGACAATTTTTCTTATAAATGCATTGAAAAGAATACTATAAATGTTCATAGTATTTTTATTCCTTTTAAATCTTGATATATTTCCTTTTGCTGGTTGTTTTTGTTAAAACACGGTTACATTTAAAATACATTTTTGTTTCATTGCATTAAGAGACTAGAACTGTCATTCCTTTCTCTTTAAAGCACTTCCTAGCTATGCGATGTGAAAGGCAAGTGGCCTTGAACGCCGTGTGAGGAGGGTGAGGAGTGGTGCAGATGTCACACTCGCTGGCAGGTGTTAGCCTCAGCTCCTAAACCTGCACTGGAAGATGTAAATAAATAGCTCACTTTTAGGTACTATATAGTGACTGCGGATTTCTTTTGTACAGTGTTTTCAATGTGAGATAATTGTCAGAACTTAATAGCTTTTTAACAAAACAGTTTTAGTATTTAAAATTACGCTTTATATAGAAAGTAAGACATGTGAATTAGAAATTTTGAAACAATTAGAATTCACTTACTATTGTATAGAAGATGCTGTTAAAACATAGGAAAGGAGGGCTGGGGTGTAGCTCAGTGGCACCGTGCCTGCCTCGCAAGCCAGCGCAAGGTCCTGAGTTCAATCCCTGGTACCAAAAAAAACATAGCAAAGGTATTTTTCTTAACCCAAAGTTTGTGATTTTGGCTTTGCTACCTCAACTGTAGGTCGTGTTTGCTGTTATAAACTGTTGCAAATTGAAAAAAATAGAATAAATATATATTTTTGGAGGAACATTGTTATTTAAACATTTTTACATTTTAGTGTTTGAAAAATTTGCCATTTCAGGCTAATATTTTTATATTTTTTTACTTTTTCAATTCAGCAGTGTTTTTGCTACTCCTTATCTCATGCAGTCTATTCTCTATTTCACGTACCATTTATATCTGTAAAATTTTACTTCTGGTGAAAGAGTGCTATCTAAAAACTACCCAAGGGGTTTAAAATTCTTTTAGTTTAATAGATGGGCATAAGATAGCTTTAGCCTTTAAATTATAATGAAGTTGTTGTAGCCTTATTCATTACTGGTTGTCTTGTAATGGAACAGCCGCAAATTCACTAAACTTCTATATTCAAAACTAAATTGTTCCCAGTATCATAAGTATAGGGGAATGTAGTGCATATGCCATGTGTTACACAGGAATGCAGTGCACATGTCGTGTGCTACACGGGAACACAGTGCACATGTTGTGTGCTACATGGGAGAATGCACTACAGTTTAGATAGGAGCCCTTGGGTATATGCAGTGTTCATCCCACTCTGCAGTTGGAAGTGTGTACAACTTAGTCTATGAATGTGATCATGAAGTTGGTTTGCTAGTCTGGTGTTCTGGGTCCTGTAATCTTTAAACATTGTTTTGGTGAAGCTGTCAGTATCTCCCTAGTGCTTATGTATGTCATCAGGCTTTTCTTTGCTGTTTTACTGCTTCTCTCCTGGTGCTGGAAAGTGGTGTGTAGTGTTTTCTGTGCTGGACCTACCGTGAAGGCTTGGGTGGGGTGGAAGGGATTTCAGTTCTCTCCCTGGCAATGAAGAGAGCTTGGTATCAAGGGTTGCATTTTTCTATATTATCTACAGTTTGTTTTAAATTTTGCTTTTGAAACATTTGACAAGCTTTACAATGAAGTTTTAAGTTGGAAATAAAGTTGAAAATAAAAATGTTGCTTTGATGTCTTTAGAGCCTCATTTCTTTTCTGCCTACAACTCTGGGGTGATTGGCACCGAGGGCCGAGGCTTCGGCTTATGTCCCCACCAGCTTTTCCTGGGATCATTTTTTCAGAAGCTTCCTAGGCCAGAGGGAGTCCCAAAGGCACCCTGGGCCCCAGCCGGCTGCTGTTGGCTTGGTGCTCCCAGGATATTGGGCTTCAAGGGGCTGGTGCTGGTGGGGACCCAGCTCCTAGAGAATGGTCAGGTATTTAATATTTGCTCTTTGAGGAAACTGATAAGTGCTGAAAACTACTGTAGCTTCGTAATCCTTTCAGATGCCTCTGGTCAGTCACAGGAGATTATGTGCTCCTTTGCAAGGCCACGTGGAGAGGTGCTGGTGAGCTTGGAACAGGTGAGGCATGTGGGGCGGAACCCATCTTGGTCTTGTTTTGTGCTGTTTGGAGAGGCGGCCTTGTGTGTTGGTGTTTCCCAAAAGATAGACAGAGTGGACGTAGTAGATTGTTTCTCCAGTCATGTTTGCAGAGGAACAACACCTTAGAGGCAGCTGCTTTCGTGTCAGAGCTCTGCAAATGGTGGGGAGTGAAGGGATTAGTTCCTTCCGTCTTTACCTTTTATCTTTGGTTAGGACCGCCCTAGACTTTGCCATTTTCTTGGTTCCTTAAAATTGTATTGTCTTAAAATTCCTTTCTGTAGCATTCTGTATAATTAGGTTTTTACTCTTTGGTTTCCTAATGTTACTTTGAAGAATCTTATTCTTTCTAGCTCATCACAACCCAGAAAGGACACCGTGGTCTTCGTATGTTCTCCCTGCGGACTGAGACCAAGGTCACATCAGGAGGAGATGGGGCCGAGAGGCTGTGCCTGGACGAAATGCTAACCTCTGGGCACTGGTTTCGTTATGGGGCAGTTTGCTGACCATCGGCATGGTGCAGGGCCGGAGGGTTACACGGGGCTTCTCCTCAACCTCATGCTGATAGCTGCTGTTGTGGACTAAGTTAATGTAATGATCACTGAAGCAATACAGGGACCCAGGAATCCAACTGATGGAAACCTTGGGACTGATTTTCAGTGGAGACTGGTGGACGTGGTGATGCACACGTCCTCGAGGAAAACATCCTGAAGCACACAGGCATATATGTACTGTGCGGAACGGGAGTGGCCCCTGCAGAGCTGCTGTTCCTATGAACATCCCTAATAGTCCTTGCCAGGACTCACATGGCCACAAGTGGACTGCTGCTGAAGTGGGTCCCTGCTGCACTCGGGCAGAGCCCAGGAGCCACTCTGTGGGTGGAGGTCTTCGGGATGGAGCGGAGAGCCTGTCCCGCCAGCTGCACACACAGGTTTGTGTTTGTGTACACACATGTGAGTGTGGTCAGAGTCAAAACTTAAAATTGCGTGGGATGGAATTTTATTTTTCATTTTTCTCACATAGCAGGGAGACCTGCATGGTGATCCAGTGACTGGGAGGTTTCCTCGTGGGTACGTGCACTGAGGTCAGGAAGTTTGTTGGTAAACCAGTCGTCAGCAAAGTCCTTGACCTTGCAGGAGTCTGCTAAACTGGGCATTCGAACGTGTAGAGTTCTGAGTCTGTCTGCTTAGAAGCATCACGTGTTACACTGCAGAGCTAGACAAAGAAAACCCAGAGATCAGACTGCAGAGTTCCAGGGAACCAGCAGCTCACACTTTCAATAGGAGGCTTTGGGGCTTTGTGATGAACTCCATACACTGCACTAGATGGTTAATGTAACTACAAATAGCCGTGCCTGGAGGCCTGGAGAGTCCTCACGGCTTTCTCTATAGCTCATGTTCCTGAGAAATGACTGGATATCAGTACAGTGCCTGTCTTAGGGTTTGGCAGTATTGGGCCATTTTGTACACTGTCGTCTGATGAATGTCCCCACCTTCCCTTGTGAGGGCACACGGAGTGGAGATGGGAGGGGCATGTGTGGCAGGGCAGGGGCTGCCTGTTACCTTGGCTGGCAGGAAGTGGATGTCGGGAAAGTCACAGCACATCGCGAGAGGCAGTGAGTCCTCCAGGGTGCTCAGCTCCTGGTCCCACCGCGCCCCCTCGAATAAGCCAAACACGTGAACTCCCTGGAGGGAGGCTTCAGAGCCCTGCGGTGGAAGGTGGTGTCCCTGTGCCCCGCTCTAAGCACCCAGGGTGCATGTGTGGGTGCTGATCCACCTGGAGGACCGTGGTCCTGTGCTGACAGGCACCAACAGAAAACGGCCAGCACGCAGTCGCTGGGCCTCCAGGAGACAGTGGAGCCTGGGAACAAGGTGTCGGTGTGGCGAGGCCACACTCACTGCTTGTCACCCACCGTGGTGGCCGTGTCCCTCCGGGCCTAGAGATCTAAAATGGGCGGGAAGAGTCTGAGTCACGCAGTTAGCTTCTACTGAGAAAGGGCTGTGTGTTTCTGGCGAGCTCTGTGGAACAGGAAGTGGGGTCCCCGCAGCTGTGTCCCGCTTGTCTTGAGCCCTCCGGGAGGTGAGTGTGGCTTCCATTTGCACTTGTGCATCCCAGCCCCAGAGCATGCTTTGTAGTTGGAAACAGCCCACTGTAAGAAGGAAAGCCACGTACTGGCAGAAAATAAATTCAGTATGGTAACCTACAGTTTGCATCCAGAATTTGTAAAGAAGTTCTGTAAGTCAGTAAGGCAAAGACAGGTGGCCCATTAGAAAGTGGGCAGTCTCCAACGGGAACTTGACTTGGAGTTCTGCACACCTCTCATGAGGTCTCGAGCGTGAGGCTGGTTTGGAGGAGCCCCAGGCCGGCAGCCGTGTCAGCCCCGTGCGACACTTGATCGTGGAGCATGTAGTACCCTCTCCGCCCACCTGGTGCACTCCACTTGGGGCGGCCCCATGGCATCCTGGGGAGCACTGAGCCTCCCATTCATAGCCACGGTGGGGAGAACACGAGATAACAGATGAACGACTGCTTTCTATAGAAAGAAAACCAAGCTTACAGAATGATGTTGCTCCCCTAACGGAAAGATAGCTCAGGTTTGTAGCTGGAAACTCCGGGACTGGAGCTTACAGGGGAACATGCAAGCCCTGCTCAGCAGCCTGGCAGGTGTTTGAGGAATGAAATGTGGGCCGCTCGCTGTGGTGCAGTAGGCTTGGTCCTGCAGACGGCTGAGCAGACGTGTGTGGCCCTTCAACTTTGGGGCATGTGCAGTGAGAGGGCTGGGTCTGGGCTGGGTCTGGGCTGGGTCTGGGCTCGGTCTGCACTGGGTGCTGGCCAGGCCTGGGCAGGTGGACTGCTGGAAGTGGCCAGCGTGGGGGTAAAGGACCAGCTGCCCTGTCCACCCTGAGAGTCCCGTACCTTGAAGGCTCCGGATGAGGCTGAGCTTCCTCTGGGCAGCGATGGAGAGCTCCTCGCTGATTGCTGGTGTCGGAAACCGCATGGTGGGAGAAAGAGGGCATCCGTGGGACACCTTGCGACCTCCCGTGGTCGGAGAACAGCAGCGAGGAAGGCTTGGAGAAATGCATGGCCTGTGGGCCAGGGCCTGGCGGCCGGGCACCCTGTGTGTGTGGCCTCGGCGAGCCCCAGGGTGCCAGTGTCTCCAGGCAGCGACTCAGGGACGCGTCCTCTGGGGCTCCTTGTGATGAAGAAAGCCCCGTCTCCCTTTCTGCAGGTGGCCTCGGGGTCCGTGGGGCTTCCCCCTCCTTGCCTTGCCGCCTGTACGCTGCGGTCCACCCCAGGGAGTCCTGGCCCTAATGGGCTTTGCTTCTGTGATGGGCTGTGTGGTCTGCTTCGTGCCCATCTTGGATGTCACTGCTCAGTGGCCCCTGCCCTGGAGCAGCAGCCCCATGTGTGCTCCACCAGCACCGAGTCACACGCAGGAGGCCACACACTCACTCCTTCAGATACTTACTGTGAGCTGCAGGACAAGGGCAGCCCTTCCTGTCCGAGGGTGGGGAGGGGCCTGCCAGGGCTGCACCCGCACAACCCAGCAGGCTCCTGCTTGCCAACCGGCCAGGTCCGCCTGGGTTTCGGTGCCCCCCCCACGGCTCTCCTGTGGCCTTCCGGTCCAGCATCAGCCACTGATCTCAACACCTCTGGGGCGCAGTGCCCTCCCAAGGCACCGGGAAGCTCGATGGAGGGGCCTGCTTCAGGGTGATGATGACACAGACAGGGAGGTGGGTCAGGCCCAGGCCCGGGCCCGGGTTGGGTGGGTGGGTGGGTGGGTGGCAGTGGAGGGAGTCCCGTGCACAGTGGCCAGGCTCACCGTGTGGGAAGAAGGCTGGGAGCCAGTGTCTCTTGGGAAATGCTTCCCAGGGGTTGCTGCCTGGGTCGGGGGTGGGGGTGGGGGCTGGACCTCGAGGCTGCCGGGCGAGCAGCCTGCTTCCAAGAGGTGATAAATTTCAGGTACCTGGGGGCATGGATAAGATGGCAGGTGAGGGCCCCCACCTTCCTGTCACCCCCTGCTCTGTGACGGACAGAGGAGTGTCCTGCAGCCTGGGGACGAGGTGGGGCTGGCAGGGCGCTGGGCTGGGCCTCGAGGGTCCTCTGCATGGCTTTGGGGCACAGACCTCCAGCGCTCCCAGCATGCTGGCCCCTGTCTGCATCTGTCCTGGCAGCCAAGACGGCACCCTGGGCAGCCAGGCCAGCCTCTCTCTGGACCACCCCTGGACGACCAGGGACAGAGTCAGGGAGCACAGAGTCCTGTGGGCGGCCATGCTCAGCCTCTCTGCCACATCTGTCCCATCCGAACCCGTGTGGCTGACTCTTGTTTTTCCAGGGCGCCCTGAGCACAGCATCATCTCTGTCCCAGCATGGGGCTGTCTTGCAAGGGCTCAGCTGGGCACTCTCCGTTTTACCTCCCCGAAGGAAGGCATGGGTCCCCCTCCTTTGTCCCCATGTTCCAAGAGGACCCAGACAGACCAAGCCGCAGCAGCCCATCCTACCAGTGGTGCAAGGCTGTGCGGGCTGCCTGAGCCCAGGTGGCGAGGAAGTCCATGCGCTGGCTGAGGTTCCCCACCTAGGCGCTCAGAGGCT